TTTACTGTAGTTTTGTCACTTGATTTAGTCCTCCTGGGAGCAGTGAGGCAAGTGCTGTGCAGGCAGCAATGGAGGTGGGTACCCCATCCCCTCATAGGTGCGTGGCACAGTGACTGGGACGCCACTGGAAGGGTTGTATTTTGCTGCACGTGGTACAGCACCCCAGGGTGTTACTCATGCCACTGGGTCCAGCTCTGCCAGCCCCTGCTTTAACTATACTGCCTTCAGACAAGGACGAGGGAGGGAGCCTGCTGCCCGGAGGTCTGTGTCTGCCACATGCTTCCCCCAGCTGATGCCCATCCTCATCCTGCTGGTGAAGCAGATGCTCTTGTGTCCCATCCCTCACGTGCGTACATGGCCTGTCATGTGGCCTCCCCCCTGCTGGTGTCGTGAGCCTGGGCTTGCACAGGGTCAGTGTAATTGTCCAACCATAGCAGCTGTCTTGTTCCAGTTCAATAAAGGAGTAATGCGCAATAAGGAGGTGTCCATGTGTCTCTGGGCCATGTGGGGCTCCCTGCTGCCAGCATATGTGCAAGGCAGCAGTCACTGATGGGTACAGACATGAGACTGCAGAAGCTGTGCCAGGCTCAAGGAGCAAAGCTCAGCTCTGCAATCCCTGCCTGAGCTGACACCCTGCCATGCTGTGGTTTTTGGGCTCTGCCACACCCTTGCCTCAAAGGGCAGGGCACACACATGTGGCCTGAAGAGATATGTCCCCAGGCTGTTCTCAGAAACAGGCCTTGCTCCAGGCTTGATTCCAGTATGGGAAAACCAACCTGGTGATGCGAGTGCCCAGCACAGCTGCAGCCCAGGGCTCTGTGCTATTTGCCTCACTGTAGCAAAATCACTCCATCACTCCCCTTCACCAGCAGTGAAAACATGCTTCCTTCTGCCCCTGGTGCTGTGGAAACTCCTTGCCTGCTGTGCTGCAGGAGCCAGACCAGAGTGCCACAGGAGCCCTGGCTCCCTCAGTGACTGAAGAACAAAGTATGAAGCTCTCAAAAAATATTTATTATCCACAAATAGCAAACCAGTCTTGTCAGTGGAGGCCTGGGTGAACCTGTGAAGGAGGTGGGAGCCCAGGGGCTGCTCTGGCTCCACAGGCCCCAGTCCTGCAGCCCCCTGCCCCCTCAGGTGTTACGTCTGCAGGAACTGGGGCTGTACCCGGGCCACCTTACGGAACTCCTTAGTGTGTGTCCGTGGGCACTGCATCTCACACCAGCTGATGGGCACCATCTGCACCCCTGGGGACACAGTAGGTCAGGGTTGCTCCTTCCCAAACTTGCATTTGCATCTCCGTGTGGAGAGGGAGGCAGCTACATCAGCTGCCCCTAAGGCAGGGATGAGGCAGAACTGTTTCAGCCCAGACCCTGTCCCTGTCCTGTCCCTACCTGCCTCACTGCGTGCCACCACCACGCCCAGCTCGTTCTCTGCTGTGCTCAGCAGGTAGTTGGACTGCGCATCCCCCAGGGAGATCTGGTTGGACAGGAATTAAGGGAAAAACTTCCAAAAGGGAGCTTGAGCCAACCAACTGGCCCTGAGGGGGAAGGATACAACTTTGGCCAGCACGATGTCACTGGGGCGGAAGCTCTTATATACTTCTACCTGCAGAGGAGAGAGCAGGCAATGCCACACAGCACCAGGGTGCTGTCAGTGGGGGCACAGGGCCCCCACAAGCAGAAACAGGGATGATGGGTGTAGAACAGTTACTGGCAGTGGCTCACTGACCTTATCCTTCTCCGTGGCTCGGATATCTTCTCTCCTGAAAAAGGAAATGGAGGGATCTGAGTACCAATGAGCAAAGACGACTCAACAGCCTGTGGCAGAAGCTGTCCCGGCCTCCCTGGGTATTCGCCAGGACCTGCTGGACACCAGCCCAGTGCTCAGGGCAGAGCTCCAGCTCAGGGCAGCCAGCTGCACTGCCCACAACAGCCTTCCTCCCCTTGAAAGCGGGGGGGATCCTAACCTTTTCCCTACCGTATGGTGCCTCGGAAGGTGGACTTCAGCGGCGTGGAGCCAACGTACAGGATGTGCACCTTGGCAAAGCGAGAGTTAATACTGCAGACCTGCACACAGGAAAAGGTGAATCAGTGTTCCAGGCAGGGAAAGGGCAGAGAGCAGGCAGGACTGCATGGGGAGCTCAGGTCTCACTTGGCCTTCTCCTCCCTGTGACCAATGGTGGGACATTTGGCAGCAAGCCAGGTTGAGGAAGATTATACTTGTGCAATTCGAGGCACCAGAATAAGGCTGAGACCTGAAGTGATCCTAGTCCCTCTCCTGCCTCCACCAGGAACGTAAGGAAATTAATCCCTGGTCTGTGCCATCCTTTCTCCAAGCTGCTTGAGGCACTGACCTGCATGCTCCCTGCCCCAGCAAGAGTTATGGAAGGAGAGCAAAGAAAATCCTCCTCTGAAGCCCACCTCAGTCTCAGGGCAGGTGTCCCTCATGCCAATACCCACTGTTTTTGTGAGTGAGGTACCCAACGGAGCCCCTGGGCTGCCCCTGCCCTGGTGGGAGTTGTACAGAAGGGACTAAGAAGCCCAGGGACTGCTCACCCCACCCTATCTGTGTGCAGGAACAAAGCTCAGTATGAGACAGAGTCGAGGCCGTGCAGTTTGTCACCACAGCCATGTCCAGTGCCCCACCTTGCATGTCACCACAGCCCCCACGTTGGGCAGGAGCTGGGACTCGCTGTCTCTCACCACCGACACCACGGGCAGCTGCAATGCAAGACACGAGCGTCAGCACCGGGCACAGCTCATGCACAGGATCACCAGCTGAACCCCGCTGGAGTCCAACTCCCCGTCACCGCCCAGCCTCCAGGGAGGCTGTGCAGCCTGGGAGCACGGCACTCAGCCCTGGCGAGGAGCAGCCCTGCTACGGCCACGCTCACCTCGTTGTCCTCATTCTTCCTCTCCAGGCAGCCAGCCAGCGAGGAGAAGATGAAGCCATGACGAGTGTAGGTCCCGCTCCCAGCCGTGGCCTCCTCTGTGCTGCACAGCCGCTCACCTGCGACACAGGGGCTCAGGGGCTGCCGGGGCATCCCGCTCCGGCCACAGCGCTCGCTCCCAGCCGGCCCAGTGCGGGGCATCCCCGGGGCAAGCCCCTCCGTACTGCCTCGCCCCGTACTCCTCTCCTAGGCCACCGCGTCCTCTTTCTGGGCAGTAGCAGTAGCAGCCGCAGTCCCAGGAGCCCCTGACCGCCCCGGGCCGCACTCACCAGGGATGCAGTAGCGTCCGGGAGGCGCCATGCTCGCTGCCGATAAGGCACACCAGAAAGCCCTCACCCTATTGGTTCCACACGTCAATGCTGCGCTGTAAAGGTCTCGGCTATTGGTTCCCTCCTGCCTGGCGTGAGGCCTGCTGGGGGCTGTAGTCCAGTGGGTGCAGACGGTGCTCCCGGCATGCCGTGCGCGGGCGCTGCCCGTGGGCCGGCGGGGCCCGGGCATGGAGGCGGCGGGCGGCGGGCCCAGGTCGGCGGCGCCGGGCGGGGGTGTCAGGGCCTTGCGAGACGCTGTGGGCTTGTAGGGGCTGTGGTGCCGTGGGGCTGGGTGGGCTCGGCGGCTATACAGAGGTGCTCTGTGACGGGGAGCGCGGGGGGCGGGAGGTGATGGGGGATGCTTCGTGTGCTGTGAGGCAGGAGGTGCTGGTGCGGACCCGGGAGGCAGTGGGGGTCTGTGGCCCTGGGAGTGCACTTGTGATGGGAGGCAGTAGGGGGGATGCTACGGGGCAGGGAGACCTGGCTCTTACGGGGCTGGATGCGGTGGGGCTGTTGGCGTGGGCAGCTTTTGAGGATGGGGCTAAATACCGGAAAGTGTCTGGGCGCTGTGGGGCTCGGTGCTACTGAACCGGGGGAGCCGGGCGCTGTGAAGCCACGGGGAGGTGCCACAGGGCTGTGCCTGGGTGCCTGGACCTGGCAGGGGAAGGCCTCGTCTTTGCCTGGGGTGGGGCCAAATCCAAGGTTCCCCACCCCTTGGCTGTGATGTTGCCGATGCTCTTGTCTCTGCTCGCGGTCGCTGTCGCATTCCTGTGGGCTCGGTGCCTCGCTGGGATGTGGGGATGGCCATGGGCAGGGCGAAGGCTGGATCCCAGTGCTCGGCTGGGCAGGGGAAAGTTGCGTGGCTCTGCTGGAGCCTCATCTCTGTGGTTGTGCTGCTGTCTTCAGGCTGGTGCTTGGGGACAGTGGGTCTTGCTCTAGAGAAGGCTGTCTGCCTGCCCCGTGGGTTCCCTCCCAACAGCCGCCTCTGTTGTAGGTGAGGAAGCTTCTCCAGGGGGCAGGAAGATGCTGTGTCTTTGGAGGAAAGGGCTGACCTCAACATCTGCTTCTGGCTACAGTGTTTTGTCTTTTACCACACTGACAACATAGGGATGTGTGCCACCCAAAGGCTGCACGGCAGGAAGTTGTTGCTCCACTTTGCACCTGCTTTTCAAGGAAAAGCTCTTGGCAAGCCACAGGGGAAATGTGGAGAAGAGAGTGATGCAGGCGTTTGCATATCTCACCTCTCCTGTACCAGGGTATAGAAAGCCTGGGCAGGAGCAATGCCTGTGACCTGGAATGGGCTGCTGGGTCTGGGGTCCTCATATCCAGCAGATCCTAACCTTGGAGTCAACCTCACACTCCTCAGGCAGAGTGGAGGAGAGCCCTGGCTCCTTTGGGCAGCCCATCTGGATGCTGCAGCTTCTGCCCTCACCCTCCCTGCTGCTCCCCAGGGGCTGTGTAGGTGGGCACAGCAGCGCAGAGGGATAATCCCTGCGGGAGGGACTCTGAGCTCTGGCACCAGTGCCTGGCACCAGACCAAGGCGAGTGCTTGGCCCAGGCTCAGAACGTGCCTTGGCAGGACCCTGGGGCAGCCTTGCTGCTTAATATTGATGGGTATTGCCTGCATGGAGGCCTGGGGGCCCCAGCCCTGCAGATCATTTTCCCATGTGCTGGGCCAGATCGGGTTCCTCATCACTCCTAGCAAAGCTTTCAGGTGGGACGAGGGGCTCAGCAGGCAGGGGAGCACTGGCCCGGGGCTGGTCCTGGTTGCTCTCATTTGCTGGTATGTGCCACTGTTCAAGGATCCAGGCGAGGAGAAGAAGTGTTTGGACTCTTGGAGTAAGGTTGGCAGGGCAGCCTCTGCAACCTGGTCCAGAAGGTAGACCTTCCCTTGAGGTGAAGGGAAATAGCACCCTACTTTTTGGGGTTAAGGAGGAACTAGGGGAGGAGGGGTAATTTTGCACTGGCTCCTTCACATGTTCCTTGGATTCCCCTATTCCTGAACATGTTGGGAAGGGCTGAAATCATCCCTGGAAATGGCCCAGCATCCTGGATGCTCATGTCTTCTCTGGTTTCCTCTGAGTCAGACTCTCCGTGTCACTCCCCCGGCCCCCTCCCCGCTGGGAAAGACGAGATGGGACCAGAGAGCACCTGAGCCCAGATGCTGAGGGGCCTGTGCCCCCTGATCCATGCAAAGAGACACCCTGGCGACACCAGCCCCGCAGCCTCCAGGAGCCTGGGCTCAGCTTCTCCAGCTCGGCATCCTTGGCAGTTCAGGGAGCTGCACTCCCGGCGTCAGCGCGTCAGGGAGGGGAAACCCTTCCCGAGGGACAGCCAGGCAGCAGGGTGGCCTGCCCACGCCGAGCTCCTGTCCCCCCAGGCGAGGTGTGGCAGGGATGAGGAGCCGGCAGCGGATGTTTGCTTCGGTGATGCGCCTGCTCCTCAAGTGCCTGCGGCTGGGCCGGCGGCGGCGGTTCAAGCTGGTGCGGCAGGTGGAGCAGCTGTGGCACTACGGACACCTCTGCCTCCGCTCCCTGCTCTACAACTCCTTTACCAACAGCGATGTGGTGCTTGACTCTCTCTTCGAGCCGGTCTACTGGCTGGTGGACCATGTCACCCGCTGGTTTGGTGTGGTGAGTCCCCCTCACTGGGCAGGGTACACGTGGTGCTGGGGCACCGGGCTTGGGACTGCCTGTGCTTTGGGCAGGAAGTGAGCTGGGACCTCAGTGTGTGGTTCAGATTGGTTTCCTCTGGCTCTGTCCTGCCCGTGCCTCTCCCCTGGCAGCAAGGGGCAGGTGCTGCCCACTCCAGTGACCCAGGCCCCTTTCCTGTAGGTGTTTGTGGCACTGGTGATTGGGCTGACGAGCTCTATTGTGGCCATCGTGTACATCTGCCTGCTGCCCCTCATCCTGCAGACCTACACACCTGCCTGGATATGCTGGCACCTCGCCTATGGACACTGGAACCTCATCATGATTGTCTTCCATTACTACATGGCTATCACCACTTCACCTGGGCACCCACCACAGGTGAGGCACCGAGCAGCAGCACAACTTCTCCCAGCTGGACACTGGGGACCAGCTACAGATGGTCAGTGGGAACAGCCTGGTGATACTGTTGCAGGATGCCTCTGAGAAGCTAGGCTGGGCAGTGTAGAGGGGGGAGGCAGCAGGGCAGCATGGGGGAGAGCTGGAGGGTTTAAAGTGCACAAATCTCTTCTGATGTGTGCACAGGCCAAGAACGACCTCACTGGTGTGTCCATCTGCAGGAAATGCATTGCACCTAAGCCAGCTCGCACCCACCACTGCAGCATCTGCAACAGGTAGGGCTCCCTCCCTCTGCCTGGGGCAGCCTTTGGAGCCGTGCTCCTCGCCCCCTGCGCCAGTGAGACAGGGGCCCTTCTCCTCTGCTCTGCCACCTCCTTGCCCTGTCGCTTGTAGCCTGCAGGGCTGAGGGGTGCCTGTCCCCTCCCAAACACACCACTTGCACTGGCTCTGACACTGGCACTGGTCTCCTCTCTCCCAGGTGTGTGCTGAAGATGGACCACCACTGCCGTATCCTTCTGCAGTACTAACCAGTGGCACACTCCTGGGGGGAACCAGCCCTGCTTCCCTCTTCTCTCCCAGTCCCTTCTCTTGAGGAGACAGCCAGCATAGGAATGGGTGATGGGAGCAGGGCCCAGAACTGCCCTGGTCCCTGGGTTGGGTTTGGACCCATGGTATGTCACAATTATGTACCTTTAACCCCAGAGGCAGCCTGGCTAAACAACTGTGTGGGACATTACAACCACCGCTACTTCTTCTCCTTCTGCTTGTTCATGACCATGGGCTGCATTTACTGCAGCATCAGCGGCTGGGAGATGTTCCGGGATGCCTACGCAGCCATTGAGGTGAGCGGCCTCTCCTGCCATGCGCCAAGGCTGCCTGGCTTCCCCAGGCTGAGCTTGCAGAGCAAGTGTGGGCCAGGCCTGGTCATATCATGACTTTGCTTCCTCTCTTCTTCCTCCTGCAAGGCCCCCAGCTGCTCTGGTCCTGTGGGGTTGTGAGGGGAAGGGTCCCTGCCCCATTCCTCTGAGACACATAACTGGTGCCCTGTTTTCCATCCCCTTAGAGAATGAAACTGCTTGAGAAGGAGAGACTGCAGGTGGCTGCCAACCAGGTGGGACATCCCTGCCCCCCAGCTGCTCCAGGCAGTGTGGAGCAGAGCTGCCCTGCAGGCTGGGTCCTGCTTGGGATTCTGCTCTCAAGGAGCACCCCACATCAGAACCAGCCCCCATGTTCATCTCACATCTCAGAGAGCTGGGGCTGGTCAGGCAGCTCTGCTATGAACAGTGCCTCCAGCAGCTTGGGGTCTGCCTCTGTGCACCCAGCTTCCAGGGACTTGGGCTGGTGACAGCTTCTTGGCATGTGCTGCTCAGGCCATGGTCTCCTGGTGAAGCTGCAGCACTGCATACACATCTCTCCCTGACCCCCAGCTGCAGTGTCCTGACCCAATCCCATGGCTGCTCCCTGTCCCCTTACCTCCAGCCCACTGTTCCTCATGCCTGTGCCAGCTCTGGGTGTCTGTCTGTCTCGTGGCTGTCCCAGGCTGCCTCCCCCTCACCCTGGCTGTTGCACTGGTTCCAGCTGCAATCTTTTTCTTGCTGTCCAAGCTCTGCAGCAGGGAGGGGTGCAGCAATCCCTGTCTGGCTTCCAACTGTGAAACAGTTTGGGTAATCCTCCCCATCTGGTCCTTTTTCAGACATACTACCAGACCCCACCACCCACCTTCTCCTTCCGCCAGCGAGCTTTCCACAAGAGCGTGGTCTACCTCTGGGTCCTGTGCAGGTGAGGGGGCCCAGGGGCTGGGGAGAACAGAGTAAGGCCTGTGACATTGCTCGCCCTCTACCTGCCTGTAGGTGGGCTTGCTCACTCTAGTGCAGATGTCACTGCCCTGTCAGTGCTTTGGGCCACAGAGGAGAGATTTTGTCGACTAGACAAGCCGACCCACTTACGTGGCTGTGGGGAGGCAGCCTCAGCCCCCGCCAGCTGCAGCACCAGGGAAGGAAGGCCTGTGTTCCACCTGCTGTCCCTTGTCATACCTAGCTCGGTTGCACTGGCCCTGGGTGCCCTCACACTGTGGCACGCTGCCCTCATTACCCGTGGGGAAACGAGCATTGAACGGCACATCAACAGAAAGGAGAGGCAGAGACTGCAGAAGAAAGGCAAGGTGAGCATAGTCCATGGCACGCGGGCTGGCTGGGGCAGAGCCAGACGTGATGTGCCGCTCCCTGTCCTGCAGGTCTTCAGGAACCCCTACAGTTACGGCAGCTGGGATAACTGGAAAGTGTTCCTGGGTGTGGATGTGCCAAGGTAAAATCCTGGGGAAGCCCCTGCCTGAGAAGGTGGTGGCTCAGCAGCTCTTGGGGTTGTAGGGACAACAGAGGCTCTCCTTGGGCTGCTGAGGGAGAGGACAACAGTGAACATTAATCCCACTCTGCACTGCACTGGGCTTTGTAAGGTGTGGAAGACCTGGACATCTTTGGCCTTGTGCCTCAGGAGCCCTGTCTGGTGACAAGGTGGCCTGCCCAGCACACCTTTGCCAGCAGAATCTCAGCTGAGCAGCTCAGCCATTGTGGCAGCTCAGGATATGGTTCCTCAGATCTGAGAAGCACCAAGACTTCACCTTTTGGCTGTGGCCTCACTTTCCCCACAGGCACTGGCTCACCCGAGTCCTGCTGCCCTCTCCTCACCCGCCCCATGGAACAGGCCTGAGCTGGGACCTGCCTCCCTGTGTGATGGAGCAACGCTCACCACTTCTGGCAATCTGAGCCCCTGTGCTCTGGCCATCCCTTCCCACAGGCAGGAGAGCGCATGGGGGACCCGCTCTGCCGCTCCAGCTTCCTTTGGCCAAAGTGCCTGGCAGAAGGCTGGCACATATCACTTACCAGAGCCAGAGCCATGGGAGACTCTCTGGACAGTGCTGGTGCCTCGACACCTGCCCCCTTGGCTCTTGGTGGCTGCAGGCAGCCCAGGGGCAAGGTGGCAGAGCTGCTGCTCCCTGCTCCAGCTGACGGTGCTGGCCCTCATTAGCACAGGTACGGACCAGCATTGGCCCAGCTCAGCTCTCTGAAGGGCTGGGCGCAGAGGATGGCACCCCCATCCCCCCAAGTGCTCCTCGGGGAGTCTTTTTAAGACCATCTACTAAATACTGATTTTTTTTTAAGGGAGTCTGTTTTTGTTATCTTGTGGGGGACATGGACTTCTGGGGATGGGAGAAGAGGGACCACAATGTTAAATGAGGAGGAAGGGCCTATAACCAGCAGCATCTTAAGCTAGTCAACATACAGAAGAACACTGAGGACCCAGCCTGAGCTGCATGGAGACCCTCAGAGCATTATCAAAACAGATATATTTATTCTTCTGGCAACTGGTTTGTCACACACCACATGTGTGCACAGACCTGTCCTCTCCACTCACATGTGGTGGGGGCTGTCCATCACTGTCCCTGGCTGCAGCAGGGGGTGGGCAAGCCACAAGCAGCACAACTCCTTCCCTGCTGTGGGTGCTGGGAAGGGACAGCAGTGAGGGGTGCTGTCTGCTGGCCTGCACGCTCCAGCCCTAGCACTCGGGGCAGTCCAAGGATCCAGAGGGTCCATGGCATCGGTTGGATGACTTGGTGGCTTAGCGAGGCGCTGGTCAGACTGTTGGTCAGCACAGGGAGGGGACAGAGGGCGCTCACCTGCCTGGGCTCCCAACCAGGAACCTGCAGGGACAGAGATGGTGCCATCAGCCATGTCCCCTACACGCTGGCACCCCCTCAGCAGCTACTTCCACACACTCACCATTCTCCACGTGCTGCCACTGCTTCCTTCCGCACCAGCCTCTTTTTGTCATCCAAAGGCTTGGCCAGTGCCCGGATAACTCGGCCCTTGTATGGGAGCAGCTGTAGGACAGAAGGGGCTCTTTGTGAGAGAAATGGATGCTGGCTGCCCCCCCAGGAGGTTTGTGGCCCCCTTGGCCCTCTACACACAGGAGCAGGCAGCAGAGTACTGCAGAAGCACTTACCACTGTTGTGGGCAGACTGGTGAGAGCATGGGCACAGCGCAGGGCGGCGATGCGGACAGCCTGGAACAGACAGGAATGAGGGCACCACAAGGGGCAGGAGAGAGGGGCATAGCAGGAAGGAAGGAGGGGGTGCACGCACCATGGTGGGGCTGGAGGTGAGGTTGAGGAACTTGGTGACCAGTGTGTCGACATGCAGGCTCATGACCTGGGGAGCTTCGAGCAGCAGTGGGTGGAGACAGCTCAGTGTGGAGAGCTGTACTACACAATCTGAGCAGGACAACGCCTCAAGCAGAAGGGAAAGCAGCTGCAGAGAGAGGGAGAACACAGGAGACATGAGTAACCCCAAACCATGCACTCTGCAATGTCACAGCTCACCCTGCCTGTCACCCAGGCTGGCTCTTACCGTGGGCAACTCTGTCACCAGCACAGGTTTGGGGAGGTGGTTGAGCACATGGGACAGGCCCTTCAGGTAATTTGCCTTCACATCTGTGGAGAGTAGAGATGGTTACAACCAGCCTATAGAAGGAGGGGATGCTGGCCCAGGTCCCCTGGTTAAAGGGTCAGGAGTGGTGAGGCTGGGCTGGGGGTGGCCACTCACCAGGGCCAGCCCCATGGAAGCCTTGCACCAGCTTGGGGACATTGTCAGTGAAGAAGCGCTGGCGGAACATGATGCGCACGTCAGCATGGCAGCTCTTGTGCAGCACATCCGGGGACTCGGCCATGAGCAGGGAGAAGCCATCGGCTGCAGCAGGGCCCAGCTCCGTGTCACCCAGCAGGCCCAGCAGCTGCAAGGGAGAGAGCCCTGAGACAGAGAACCCTGCTGCTGCAAGTCTCCAGCCAGCCATGGGGGAGCAAGGCAGGTTTCTTAGATATCACCCAGCCCTACCACCACCTACCTTGTCTGTCAGGCAGGAGCTCAGGGGATGGTAGCGCAGTACCAGAGCTTTGGTCACCTGTGCAGGCAGAACAGTCAGTGCCAGGCCGGGTCCCCCAGCCCCACTCGTCCAGGGCAGGCCTTACCCAGAGCAGCAAGGTGAGTGCCTGCGTTCGGCAGGGCCCCTCTGCAAGGATGGGCTCCATCCTGTTCACTGCAAGCTGCAGGATTTCATCCAGCTGCTGCCCTGGGGATGGAAGGGACAAGCTAAGCCATTGCCCCTGCCAGCGGTGGGCAGGGTCACTGGGCATCTTCCCCAGCCCCTTTACCTGCTGGGTGCTTGTTCACCAGCCCTGCAAAGCACTTGGCAGCTGTGGTGGCCGTGAAGGGACAGTTGCAGGAACAGCTCAATGCCAGCAGCTCCCGGAGCAGCCATTCCTGCTGAGGGATTCCCACCTGGAAGAGACAGAGACCATGTTATGGCTCAGGGCTGCAGTGCTCCCTCTGTCTGTGGAGCTTAGTGTGGAGAGTGTGGAGGGTGCTTGGGCAGGGCTCCTTTCCACCTTGCTCCCCATCAACATACATCACGGGGCAAGGAGCAGACAAAGGCCATGAGGAGGGCAACCAGGCGTCTCTGTGCCTCCAAGCACTCCCCATCCTGCAAGGGAAGAACAGTGTCCATGTCATCACAGCCCTTGCTGCCAGCCTGTGCCAACATTCTCATACCCAGCCCATTCTGGTGCCCCAGCCCAAATCACCAAACATACCCCGAAAGGCTGGAAGGAGGAGGGAAAACTGTTTTGGGGTAGGAATGAGACTTCTCCATCCAGAAAAAGGGGCACTATGTGAGACACACTCTGGGCAGCCAGTCTAGGAGAAAAAAGACATTGTAATGTGCTGCTCTAGAATGGTCAGCAGAGACCTCCCAGGAGGCACAGGGCCACCCTGTACAGATAGCAGCAGGGGGCATGCAGCCTGCTCCCTCCCCACGATGGAGCACCCAACTTCCTGCCCCAGCTTCACTCACTCAGGGCTCAGGTGAGTGGTGGCAGCACTGATGACTGGGATCATGGCAGCCAGCACCTCTTCCTCCAGCAGTGCTTTGCCTGGCAGTGTATGGGTGCTCTCTGCAGATAGTGGGAGGAATGGAACTTGCTGGAGCCTGCTGGTCAGGTGGAGGAGGCAGGCACAGCCCCCTGAACCCACACCAGAGTGGGGCAGGGCTCTGGGGCAGGGAACAATAAAGCCCACTCTTGAGGGCCATGGGTGCCAAAAGACATGAGTAGCAGCACCGACTGCAGGATCAGGGACCCCTGAGAGCCTGGGATTTGCCTGCTCTTCCCTCTCCCACTCCAGCCCTGCACTTACCTTGCATGGCTGCCTGCACAGCCATGGCCAGCAGGCAGGGCACCACTGTCTGGTGGAAGTACCAGCAGCTCTCGGCATCCTGTTGGCACTGCAGGGCCACGTGGTGCAGGCTCTGGCACACAGAGACCATTTCTTGCGTGTTCCTGGCCTCGGTCCCTGCAGGGCACAGTCACCACCAAGTCAAACAGCCTCAACACCCAGCCCCCTGATCTACATGGCATCTTGGGACAATGCATCTCCTCTGACTCCCACTCCACCAGTGGGATACACAGCTCAGGTGTGGGTTCCTTGTACCACTGCCATTCCAGCTCTCTCCCAGCCATCACCAGTAACAGAGGCAGCTCCTGCCCAGACATGCTCTGTGGAGCTGTCTGCAGCAGCTCCATTACCTTTCTGCACCTTCTGGAGATGCTGTAGCAGGACAGGGACAGTCTCTCTCACGATGCTGGTGTGGGTGGACACAGCTGCCAGGGCCTGCAGGCAGCGCTGCTGCAAGGAGTGATGGTTGTGGGAGCTTTCCTCCCTCTCTGAAGAGGAAACACAACTCAGAGGGGGACCTGGGAACACCCCACCCAAGGGCAGTCAGGCCTCAGACCCTGCCCGGGCAGATAGGGTGAAGCAACACAGCAGACCCAGCCCAAGCCAGGCTCACGGTACTCTGCCTGCTCTGCTGCTGAGCAGCTCCTTCCCACAAGGATGTACCTGGCCACACACAGGCTGGCTACCAGAGCAACCACAGCCTTTCCTGTGCCAGCACAGGGAATCCCCCAAGGACAGCCACTGACCTACACCACATAACACAGCTCCACTGCCTGGCAGGAGCCCTACGGGGATGGGAAAGGCTTTACCCCAAAATCAGTCACCACTCCTTTCCCAGCCCTACCTGACTGCAGCTCCTCTTCAAGCCTGGGTACCATGCGTCCAGAGAAAACCTTTGGGTAGGTGGGGGCCATGGACCCAGCTGCCTCCATTGCTGCTTCACTGCCAGGGGGAAAGAGTGGAAAAGGTGATGCAAGGACTGCAAATCCAGGGTTGTTTGTACACCAGCTGCACAGACCTGGCCAGAAGGTGTCTACAGAATCCCATTTCTCGGAAACTTGCCTTTTTCACCCTTCAGGGAGTAGAGCACAGCCCCCTACTTTGATAGGCTCAGATTTTCTTATTTCCAGCCCATGAACAGTCTGGTTTCTCCCACACAGTCTTCTTGTTCAGAATTCCTGTGCCTTCCCTCAGACTACGGCCCCTCTGTGCAGCAAAGCCAGGCTTTGGTCATCCTCCCAGAGTGTGGGTGACTGCCATGACACTAGACCATCCCTCACCTGCTCTGGGAATCCTCCTCATGCAAAGCAAGACGGATAAGGTGATCCACAACCAGCTCCAGATCAGAGGAAGACAGGAAGCCTGGAACAAGAGCCATAAAGGAATCTTAGCCAAAGGCAAAGATGCTGGTGTACTGGACAGGATCTTTCCGCTCATCCAGGCCAGCAGCAGTGCAGCAATACACCAAAATGCCAGAGATACAAGGTGCCCAGCACAAACAGGCAAGAGAGAGACCATGTGTCCCTGCAGCTCATGGCTTGAGTAGAACTGTATGCTGCTGCTACTCCTGTGCACTTACAAGCAGCAGGCAAGGACGTCCTAGAAGCCACCATGTCTCTCAGAAGAGAATTACACCTCCCTCTGTCTCAAGTGAAAAAAGGCACCAACCTTGCAGGGAGCCCAAGACAGTCAATGCCTTGATCCCAACCAGCTGCAGCTGCACACTGGGATCCATCAGCGCTGAGAACACCACAGAGCAAACCAGGGCTTGGAGCGACAGCAGAGTGTTCTCATCTGGACAGAGGGGCAAGGAATCACTGCCTGTGTCTGGCTGTCA